CATATTTTCCCCCTGCAGGGAGCACTCGCCTCAACTCCACCCACCAGAGCCTTATGTAATAAATGCTTACATTTCTGCCCTAGCACATCAGGCTACAAAGCAAAATACAGGTTTGTACATACAGCTGGTTTCTTAAAGCAGCCCTCAGGGTGATGAGTCACATCTGTAGTAAAAGTTAATGGTTGCAATTATGGTGCAGTCTCAGCATCTGAAGCAGTTGAACCACATGAAAAATGTCTTTCTACTTCAGCTATGAATCTATGACTCGGTGGTTCCACATGCCCCCCCCCTTTAGATTTTTCCACTATATGCTACAGAACAAAGACCTAATGCACATGGAATCAAGACCACAGCATTTCAGAGTAAACAGCAGTTGTATCTGGTTTTACTTAATGATCCATGTTCAGTTTTTTGCAAGTGTCAGTGTTGTAAGACATTAATTTGGCTATAAGTCCCCCACAGTTTCCCAATAGATATGCCTGGCTGTGATATTCTATATTTCCTTTTGAAAAGAAAAACTAATGCATATACTGCTGAAGAACTGCCATGTGGAGGCAAACAGTTACATGCTGTTAGTGTTTCATGCACATGCAAACCTCTTAAACATCTACAGTGCAGCGGTATATGCAGTTATCTGCTCTGACAGATGATGAAGACAGCAACTATCACAACTATTCTACAGAATATCTGGTATGTAAAACTCCTCCTTATAGTTGAAAACAATTCCTTAAAGACATAGGATATTAACATCCCAATTCTAAGTAAACAAGTGTTATTCAGAGCAGCTACAAGCATTTGTTCTAACTTAACAGAATCCTGAACAATTGCTTCAACTGATGCTTTAATGCATAGTATCTTCTTTACAAGTAATTTTCAAGGCTGCAGCACTCCTCTAGGAAGACACAAAGAAGAAATCTAAGCTAAAGAAGTTCAACGTCTCCTTCAGAGGAGCTAAATATAAGAACTTCAGAGTTGGTTCCCAAGGACCGCGCAGACTCTGGCTATGTGGGAAAATAAATCAAGTGATGGTGCCATCCCTAATGGGAAACAGAGCGGCAATCCCACCACAGACTTGAAGAGATGCACAGGCACATATTCCAAAACTAAATAGGGCATTTAACAACAAACAAAAACACAAAGCTTGAGCTCAACTCTAAAACCACACTGGCAGAGAAAGACGAAAAAAGTTCTTCTAAATGGGTTGAAATTCTTTATTTTGCTTGTGCTCCTTGCCAGTGATGTTAATACACAGCATGCCATCTCCACAATGAGTACTGCCCATTTAACATTTCATTTACTAATGGGCTGTACACTGGGCTATCATGCTACAACCAGAGAGTAGGCATTGTTCTTGTTGCTGATAAATCAGCCAAGGAAATCATTTTGTGTCCTCCATTACATTTCAAAAAGAACGATGGCCATGCAGTAAAAACTAATTGTTTTGAAAGCAGACACAGGACAAAAGTATTTGTACAGTTACTAGGAATAGCAAGAAAAAATAGAGCTTATTTAGTGGAGCCACTGATTTCATGAATATCTTTCATAATTCTCTTATTTTAGCAACTATTCTTTACAGCAGCACAGAAGGACAGAGCCATAATACTCTTCCTAAAATCTCTTTTAGAAAGCGTGAAAATAAGTCTTAGGGGAACAGAACATGAGACAAGAGTTGGTTAAAGACTGAAGAAAGGAAGGCAGCATCCTTAGGGATTACATTTAAAATTCAACACTTTCCTACAAAACACATTCCTTTCATGAGTCAATCAAATACTTTCAGCGTAGGAAGCACAACGTTTTGTCTGTGTACATGTGTATCTGTATGAACAGGAGCAGATCAGAGCCCCAGGAAATGGCAAAGCGAGGTGCTCAGCATTAATGCCTGCCCTCTAGTGACCAAGCTTTACATTAGGAAACTCGGAGAAAACATCACCAGAAGGTACAGTGAGAATTAACATAAACTCAGTCAGAAATGTTTGGAGAGAAACATCAAAAGAATCCCCACAAGCAACATGCAAAAACCTTCTACCAAGCCCTAACCCCATGGGAACCCACCCATCCCTCCTCCATCCCAGGGACGATCACACCAACACACCTGATGAACGCTGAGGTCACCTGCCTGGTCAGTTAAATTTCATTTCTTCCTTGATATGCACTACAATGCAGGGATTTTGATTACAAAAGCCCTATTCCCGTGCTTCCATTCACCTCCAGCAAGTGAAGCAGGGGCAGCTCTGGAGAGGCCTACACACAGGCCTGTCGGGAAGCAGGGCTGTTCCTGCACTAGCAGGGGAGGCAACGCTCACCCCGGGTGCAGCGCCCATGTCACAGACACTCCTGGTCCATCTGAAGCTGCAGGACTCCCTTTCTCCGGCCAGGGTGGCTCAGGAAAGTGATCCCTAGAGGCAAGCTCTGCATTCATTAAACAACATCCAAAGCTTAGGAAATGGCAGAAATGATCCTTTTCCAAATCTAACTCATTTCCCCCAGCACATCATCTGTGAGTAACCCCAAACGAGCAATCCTAAATTCTGCTGCTGATGGTTTTGGCCAGATACTTGCAGAAGTGCATAAACACAGTTAAAATAAACAAAGCTAAACTATGCTAAAAGTAAGAGAACACCTCTCCCAGGCATCCTTGCTCAAATTTGGCTCATAGTTGAGGCAAAGGATCACAATCACTTAGCTCCACCAGCATCAAACTGCAAAAAATGCACTAGTAGAAAAGACATGGGTTTTGACTGTGTTAGTCTATGTAGCTGGCTGGTTAGAGGACAACTAGAGTTTGTTTTAAAGGGAAAAAAATAAAAAGCACAACTACATGTGAACCAAAAAGCAGTTAAGACTTTCAACGCAAGAAAAGGCATTTCACAAATACCTACTCTCAGATGCACAAAGCAGAAAACATGGTGAAAATTAAAAGTCCTACTAAAAGATGCATTTGAGCCCCCCGAAGTCCAGGATGTCCTGGACAGGATGTGATTTACTCAGTGACACACAAATGGAGCTAACAATTCTCAGAGGCGATTTTCTGTTTATGGGAACAGACAGAGGGAAGCATAAAGGATCTGACAAAGCTTATGTGTTTTTATTCATACTCTTGCTGTTACACACAACCTGCTTTGCTATATGGGTCAGTCAGACTCCTGACTTCCACAAGCACCAAATTCAACAGGATAATTATTCTTCCCTGTGAGGGTGCTGAGGCGCTGGCACAGGGTGCCCAGAGAAGCTGTGGCTGCCCCATCCCTGGCAGTGCTCAAGGCCAGGTTGGACACAGGGGTTGGAGCAAGCTGCTCTAGTGGAAGGGGTCCCTGCATGAGGCAGAGGTTGGAGCTGGATGAGCTTTAAGGTCCTTTACAACACAAACCAGTCTGGGGTTCTATGGTATCTTTGTCTTTGACCCTCCCCTCCAATTATTTCACTCTACAGAATCTACTCACCATGGATTTATAAACAGATAGCTGGCATTTCTACAAGAGGCATGTTATGATACAAGAAGTCTTGACCACTAGCTGGTAATTTTGACAACAAATCCTAGAAGAAAAATGTCAGCTATTTGGCTGGAAACCTTACAGTTAGAAACTAATACCTGCAATATGCCTCACTCATATAAAACAAGCAATTGTTTTCTCAGGTGGTGTTAAGTCCTTAGTCTCCTCCAGCTACCAAACAAAGTTTTAATCCAGAACTAGACTATTAACAATCATATAAAAAGTACAATTGTTCCTGCCTATTTTACTCAGCAGATCACTAACGGTCCTGAGTACTGCAATTTGTGTTTCTTTACAAGGAGGTAGGAAGTATAACATGGAGCAACCAACTTTAATACTAAATGGGAAGGGAATAGCAGCTGTAGAAGTCTGGTTTAAAGGACTGTTCAGTAGGAAACTATACAGCTGCTTTTAAAATCAGTAATGGCATCATTTGTATATAATAGCTTTCGTGGGAGAATTATATTCTTAATTGTATATATTAATTGAATTGAATATTCTTAATTGAACTCAATGAATGAGTTCAGAGAATTATTTGAGTAGCTTCATGCAAGGAGTTTTCAGTTTACACAGATCCAGACTAGCTCCTGGTCAGAGTTTTAAGAAAATGAAGGCTTGGGTCTCAAGTCTTTCTTCCAAATGGAGCTGCAGAGCTTTCAGCTTTTTAAACTGTAAAAATCTGGTCCCTTTAAAATTAGATATATCCCAGAACTCAGAAAAAAATGATGAAGCTCCAGCTATGCAACTGGCAGTAACTTTCATTTAGTTCAGAAGACCTGGATAGCTGAAAAGCATCCCTAGTTTCCCATTTCCTAGTTTCTACACACCCAAGTCTTCTTTCCCTTCTAACCTTCCCTCTCATTGACTTTATAATATTCAAGTCTTTTTTCTGAAGTGATTAATTGTGAGGTATGAGAGTTACAGTAATATCCAATGCTCACCAAGTACAGTATTCAAATACCTCTGGTACCTGAGGTCTTCAAATACAGACCTGTCTTCCAAGCCTGACAAAACCATCAGATCCTATCAAAGTTCTCTCCCTCAAAACTCATTCCCTACTTTATTTTATGATGAAATAATCTCATAGACTACATAACACACTGATACCATGCACTGATCATTTAGGGATCCACTCCCACATAGAAAGCCAGAGTGAATTATGAAGTATTTTGTTTCCATTTTTTAATACAAACAGAGCAGAAGTCATGCACATCAGCCAAATCTGGCCCACATATAAAATGAAAGTCAGAAGTTGTTTTTTTTGCTACTTTGGGGTTGTTGGACGGTTTTCTTTAAGGGTCATATAGACTCCTTTTGGCATTTTACAGTTTCTCAATAGTTATATACAGCTTCTGCTTTAAACATTACCTTTATTTTGCAGGGGCTTTCAATTAGACACCCAAAAAGTTTATTCTCTAAACTCTTGCAGCCAGATAGTCTTGGGGCCTTATGATTTTTACTCTGTGAAATCAGAAGGCCTATGCTGATGGAAATCACACTTGTTCTTACCAGCTGTTAGTATGGTTTTAGCACTCTGCACTACACTGGAAGATCTTACAATTCTTGAAATGCCTGCAAACAGAAAAGCACACAGATGTTACCCATCTTTAGAGTTTTGTGGGAATTTTTTTTATATAAATAAAGTTAAAACATTTTTCCACTTACATAATAAATCCAGCCTGAAAGGAAAACATACACTAAAACTGTTCTGCTTTGTCATACTAATCGAAAATATTGTTTAAGCTTTTTTTAAGTATAACATACAGAAAAAGCCCTAAATCAATATTAAACCAGATAACCTCTAGGAATTAATCATATTAATTTATTTAGTGTTCCCACTATTTCTCTACCAAAATGATTAGTCACAAGGCATCCAGAATTGTTTCATCTAACTGCTGGTATATTGACTTTCTTGTTTCTTTCAGTGTGAAATTGACATTTTGCACTTCTCTGATCAAGCAGAGATGCCTGTATTGTGCAGTCTTTGGCTGGTTTCAGTTATCAGTTTTGGAGATAAGGCTGGTTTAGCACTTCGCACTGTGGCACATTCAGTTCTCATTGTCCAGCAGTTCTTAAGTATTAATGGAATAGTATATAAAACATCAAAACTTCTTTGAAAAGCATTAGGTTTTATCTATTCAAACACATCTGTAAAGCAGACTGCCATGTGCAGAACAAAACTGTGACAAAAACTGTACATTACTACAGACTTAGAAATGTAAAAATGCAGGCAGCCCCGGAGTTAGCCCTCCAAACTGAAAGTTATTCTGCATTAACCAGAATGTAGACTGCCATTTCAAATATTAATTCCTTCAATTCTACTGCTGTAATGAAGAACAAAACTTCAGGAAATACATTAACAAAAGGAACACAATATTCCACCAAAAAATAATTTGGGGGGTAGGGAAGGGCACAAATCATGTTGAGCTAGTAAAATACCTAGGGACAATGCAATTCAGCTTGAGTAATCAACTTTGCCTTGTAGGATTACCAAATGGCTTGTCCTGTCTTTTATCTAGATTCTTGAACTAGGAAAATCTTTTGTACATAAAAGTCAAAGAGGGGTTTTGATTTTTTTCTCTTAGGAGCATAAACTGCACGGATACAGTCACAGCTATGCCTGCGATACCCCACCAAAACACAGCTGCAAGGACAGCTCTCTCAGGATGAACAACTCAGAGCTCTAAAACTCTCTGCAGCTCACAGCATAGCAACTCCTGCTCCCAGGTTCAGCTATTGCCACACTACTGCTGCAGTCCAGCCATAGCAGCACGGAAGCTGCCATAGACTAACATGAGAGAAGGTGGACACCTTGATGTCAAGGTGAAATTCATCCTATACTCTCAGTGGAGCACCGCAATGCTCAGGAGCTCCCTCAGGAGTTGACTAGTGTCAAGTGGTTCTCAGGCACCCAGGGAATTTTTCCTGTGCCCAAGGAGCCTGCAAAATTGTCCACCTGGAACTAAGATGTGTCAAGTTCTTTAAGGATGTAAAGGACTCTTCAGGTACTGAGTGTTTCCATTTTTTCTTCAGTATAATAAAACACTGATGTTTGCACCTTTATCTTTAACTTGCTCATACAGCATAATCTTGCCTCAGAGAGAGTATGATGGTGAGAAACACCTCAATCTTTCTCTTCAAAGCTTGAGCTCTCTGCCAGAGCTGGGCTAACCATGATGACTGGGAAGGGGAATGTCAGCAAGCCAGAAAATGAATGTAGCATTGCAACGTATGACTGGTAGGATATATATATAGATTAGTATTTAGATGAAGTTATGCCAGCCAATAAAATCCTAAAGTTGTAAACATCCCAGATAGAGTCGGATTGTTGCCGTGGTCTAAGGAGGCCACACTAATACCCAAAGACTACTTGTTTCAGGACTAAACCAAAACATACCTTTCTGTATCAGTAGGAATGCTATTTGCTACTATTTCAGCAGAAAATATACAGCAGATTTGTAAATCTGTCATGTCTTAAAGGAGATTACAGGCACTGATCTAGACCTACCTTGATGCACCACAAATCCACAGTCAGGGTCATGGGCAACTTGCAATAGGATTTCTTCCACATCTCTGTTTTTTCCAGGAGGGTCTACCAGAGAAGTTATCTTTTGTTGCAGAGTCCTTGGCAAAGACATCAATTGTGCAAATTGACCTTCTGGACTTTTATCTATCTGAACATTATGAAAAAATAAGACAGTAAAAACATCCCGTGTTAATAAAGCAAATTCACTCTCTCAAAGAAGTCAGAAAAGTCTTTTGACTCTCTCTGACCTCTGATAAATATCTCACAGAAGACGATCCGTTTCACTTTGAGGAGTCACTGAAAATGCCAATGAAAACTTCCCAAGCACTGGGAAATGCAGTATCCCAGTTCTGAACCTGAAAAGTTAACTCACTGCAAAGATGTTAATTTTCATCCAGAGAAGACTAATGTACACATATGATCTTGCTGCCTCTGCAAGCAACTTTTCATTGAAACTGTATCATTTCTGCTCTATCCAATTTCCTTTGGAAATATAAGTACACTACAATGAGAAAAACAAAGCTCCCAAAAGACCACTTAGCTCAGCTTCTTCTGCCTGAATATAATCAAACTGCACACACACACACTTCAAGTTTAGCTTGAAAAACATTTTCTCTGCTTTAAACTCAAACCACATCTGGTTTTTATAATGTGAAGGAAACATTCATTCCACATTTCCCAATCTAAGTCAGAAATACAGTGACCCTGTTTTGAACACAAGGATAACAGCATGCAGGCCTGTACACGTTTATACACCAGGTAAGCACAAATACTGAAAAATGCATAATGGAGCAGCTCTCTCCAAAACTGAAGGAAAACATGAAGAGCTCAATTCCTCCCACACAATGTTTTAGACAGTTCATGGAGACATCAGACAGGAGTCTAGCTGTCCTATACACTCCCTTTAGTCAATGAGGAGAAAATGATATCCAGATGAATCACCCACTGACTACAGAGGGAGCCGACAATGAGCAGGCTCTTAACATTATGTGGGAGGAATCCACGCCTGAACCAGAACTGTAAGAGCTAGTGTCTGCCTTCAATTGTTTCTGAGGAATCTTTTAAGAAAGAATTTTCTCTGTAACTCTGAGAATGTGTACTTGGAGAAGAGGTTTCTGTTCTGCATCAAACAGCACTCCTGATAGCAGTTATCCTATTCAGAATGGGGGATAACTGCCAACAATAAACCAAGGTGCGAGGAATAACGTATTAAAGCACTTTGCTCAAAATCAACAGTGAAAATCATGGAATTTAATCAACAGCTTCAATGACTACTATGGAATTATGGCCAGATTTATTATTGAACAACTTATCAGTAGTATGCTACCAGGATTTGTTTAAAGGTAACACAACAGGGAGTATTAAGCTAACTAGCCATTTCCTTCGACAATGCATTACTGACTCTTTTCAAAAGTCATTTAACTAGTTCTTCCACTGAACTGTTCAAAAGCACATTGATAAGAAAACATGGAGACAGCTGCAGTATAATAGATTCGCCTACGCTGTACTCCAAAGCACTGCAGTAAAATTATTTACTGTACTCAAGCTTGCTTCTATCTGAACTTCAGTTTCTAACAAAGACACATCCTAAAAGGAGACATCTGGGAGATAATGACCAAGGTAACTTGAGGATGAAGAGATACCATATCCATGAGACAACCCATGTTACCTGTAACTTCACGTTGAAATGCATATCACACTGGAATATCAACACACGGACATGAATACTGCAAGAGGAAAAATTGCTACTGAACCCCTGAATATAGCATCTCTCCCCTAATTGCAATCGCACACATTATGCCAGAAAGGTGGAATTCAAGATACTGGTGATTCTGGATACCCATTTCCCAAAAACTAGGGAAAAAATGGCTTAGTATGGGTACTTAAAGATAATGCCAGAATTTCATCTGGGTTTAGTCAACTGATCTTCATAGCTAGCGCTCTAGGGTTTTTCTGTCAGATGCAGTTTTTGATTGCAGCTCTAAGAAGCTGCACCTCTAAGTTACAGCCTGATCTTCTTAACACAACCCATATGTTTATTCAGCACTTCCTAGACTGGTGTTTTCATACGGCAGTCATTAGATCACGTGTTTTAAAATGATATTCTCTTGTTGCCTTGCTAGGGCTCTAGTTCTATGCCCATCCTCAAACAAAATGAACAGTAGTTACTACATATGCAGAGACTGGTATTTAAGGCAAGTCTTCTGGTTGCAGAATTAACTAAACAGAAACATAACAAACAGCAAGTACAGTGACTACAACTGCTCTCCTTAGTGTACAATAGAATTCCTGCCTTCTGTCAATGTGATAAAGCACTTCCACTTGCTTGTTTTAAAAATGTTTTGAGGAACACTTGCCTCTAGCCTTCCCAGATGGTGCTTGTATACCACTTGAGGGCAGTCCTGCAGTATGTTACTGTACAGCTTCTGAAAATGGGGAACATTAGGTTCCACTATGTTCTGCACTTTCGATCTGTCTTCTCCTACTATCATTCTGAAATCACCTAGTCAAGACAAGAGAAACAGTTAATTCATTAGGAAAAAATGGAAACTCAAAAAGAACATAAGAGAAACAAACACAGTAAAAAGCTGTAGTCTAAAACTTTATTCTCAAATTCTACCTACGTAATCCACTACAAGATTCACCTTCTAACAGCCAAAAAATACTATTCAGATACCTTCAAGCAGAGAAAATAAGAGTCAAAATTGTTATGTGCCCTCTTGCGTGCTGTACCATCATCAACCCATGTGTCCACATTACCCCCTTGGTCAACAAAAGAAAAATCTACCTGTCAACTTCAGCCTTGAAAGAGGCAGCAATTGTATTTGAACTATGTATCAATTTCAACAGATTAATGTACAAATTGACCAGCCCCAATTCTTTGTATCCAGAAACAAATAACCTTCTATTTTCCAATACTGAAAGAAAGTAATTTGCATTGCCTCTGCACTTCAAGGACCGTACCTGGACTACAGCTAACAGTGCCATGGAAAGATCACAGTATCATCTTTTACTCATCAACTTTTCACCCTACTATTCAGTTATTAGTTTCAAAAAGCAACTCCTTTTAACACCAGTTACTGACCTGTACACTTTCTTTTATGATAAATGACTGAAAAGTTTCAAAGAGAGTAAATTAAAAGACAGTCTGTGGTAGAGCATTCATCTACCTCCATTGGGCGCTACTCTGGTAGCTTCCAGGGTTACCAACCAGGAGTTAGAGGCTCCGTGCAGCACATATGAACAAACAAAATCCTGAATCAATTCATTTTCCCACTTCCCACATGCAGGAGATAAATGTTGTTGCAAGGTGGCAACTTGCTACATCACTGAGTTTATTTCAATTTATGCCAAGCCACAAAACAAACACTTCCATAGAAGCAGTACTGACTCACTGCTCCCAAAAACACATACAAAAATAAAAGGATAAACATTTTTCCAAACTAAAGCATGAACAACTCTCTTCAGCAGTTTCCAAGGAGACAGATTAAAGTAACCCATAAAATCAGTTTTGCCTACTAGTACAGCCTCTGAAAGACTTAACCAAAACGGCAGCAAAAAAACACATTATCAACAGTCTTTTTCTTGAACATTCCCAACTGGGACTTACTGCTTTAGCTCTGTTCACACAGCAGAGCCAGTTTCAGCTTACAGCATGGTCACTGATCTCCCATGGTTTTGGAAGGATATATAAAAAAAAGTGTGTCTTGGTCAGCAGTGCTCACCAAGAGTCTAATGACGTTCCTGGACAGGTTTCAGGCAGGCAGGTATGCAGCCCTGTTCCAAACATCCTCAGTTAGCAACCTTTAGCCAGCCCACTGTCAGCACAACCAAGTGTTGCATTGAAGAGTCATCTGGAGTAATTTCTTACTTTTTTCCCTTAGAAATTCATACTGATCTCATAACGAAATGAGAGAATTCTCTTGCAAAAAAAAGTGAACAAATACGAACGAGGAGGTGAGTGTTAAATGTACATTGAAGGATCATAATCTGGATCACAGAATGCCAGAATGCTTTGGGTTGGAAAGGACATTAAAATCATAGGCAAGGACACCTCACACTAAACCATGTCACCCAAAGCTCTGTCCAGCCTGGCCTTGAACACTGCCAGAGACGGATCATTCACAACTTCCTTGGGCAACCCATTCCAGTGCCTCACCACCCTCACAGTAAAGAACTTCTTCCTCATATCGAACCTGAACTACCCCTGTTTAAGTTCACTAAAGAACCTTAAACACAGCACATTCAGAAAGTAAGAGATAACAAAGTATGGGTCAGACTATCAATGAATCAACATCACACTGAGAGTGGAAAGACATTTTTTCCAAGGTTTCGAAACATTAAAAAAAAATATTTTCCACCCTTTTCCATCACCCATACTTAGCTGTTCATAAATCAAGCAGGTATAAGGTTTTGCTTATGCACCTATACCTGCATCCTATGAATCAGCACAATTAGTCTTACCAAGCTGTTATGAAACACAGCATTAAAATACAGTTGTTGAAGCATGCAAGAGTGTATGCCCAAAGCAAGAGAGCAGATGACTTACTATGTATTGGAATTCCTACTGTGTTACAACAGCTCCAACTACAGCTTTTCTCTTCAGTGACATCAGACACCATATACTAACCAGTATAGGAGAGTCCTGCAATCTGCATATAGAGGTCTTCTTCTGAGAAGCTTTCTGGTAACATGAGAAAGGCTGCTGTGACTGCACTCTTCAGATTGCTCACAAGAGCAGCTTGTAGCTTGCTATTCTCATTCTGTGTCAGGATTTTCACCTGAAAAAGCAGAGTCATTGGAAGCAAGACTTCAGGGAAGTGCTACTGAAGATGGGCCTAGAAATGTTATTCAATCCATCATGAAAGTAAGTCAGGAATTTATTTAAGACTAGATCCTGTTATTTTGGTACAATAAATAATAGTTTCCCCTTGGGTTTACACAGTGGGAGAGAGATGAACATCTTAACAGTTCAGCAGCCTGCTACAAAAGGCTGGTTTTACAAAGGGCTGCTATAAGCAACAGCCACTAACAAAACCCTAAAGAGCTATTCACCTCTTCATAGTCATAAATCTAAGATTAATCAAACGATTCGTAAACACAAATGTATTGCCAGAAATAATTCATACGTGATCATGCAATAAGGAAAAGACCACTATCACACAGAAAGAGAACAGAATAGCAGAAAAAGAGGAAACTTTTCCCATTCATCTGTATTCTGTTCTTTTTTTCTAACAGAGGACTCTTCTATGGCATGCTTTAAGTAGTTTCTCAGATATTAGTTGTTCTCCCAAAAGCAGCAGAGCTTTATTTCTTTATTTTGCACTTTGCATGAGCAGAACGTGAACTCAATGGAAGCTTCACAGGTACATGAAGATCACTGCAGTTGAGTGTTTATGTGCCACAAGGAAAAGTCTGTATTCAGGAAACATACAAACTATTCCAAGACCCACTACAGAATCCAGTGACCTGGGATATGGAAATATACCTAAATAAAAAACAGGTCTTCAGTAAGAACTGAATATAGAAACACTTTATTATAGAACATTAGACAGATGAAGTCAGCCTAGTTTACAAGATGGCTGATTGTGCTCTTTCTGAAACAACTCTCCCAAAGAATACCTCCTTGTTGTGAGTTCCTGTCTCTTTCAATGTTCTGGTTGAGCAATACTGTCTCGCTTATAAAGGGCAGCTTAACATTTGTTTACTCTAGAATATCTTAAAATGCAAACCCACTGGCAGTTATTAACATATCCAATGTGCTTTTCCTCCCCCAAGGCCCATTCACACACAAGTTAGTTGCAGTATTACTTGAAGCTTTGCCCCCACATATAACCTGAAACAGCTAAGGTATCCTTTCAAGTAAATATTTTCCTTTATGAATGTATATGCTTTGTTAATTAAGAAAAAATAAAACAAAAACCCAACCACACAACAAAAAACCCACAAAAAAAACCCCAACTAACCCAGACTCAGTGAAGAAAGTATGAGAATCAGGCATACTGGCTACACAAAACTCCTGGCAGAAAGCATGTTGACAAAGCAAAGTCATGGCTGGCCAATATGGTATTCAAAACATACTTTCAAATTATGAAGTATTTTAAGAGGGATAAAACTATAACAATATCTCATTTTGATGTGATGGTGAATGCAACAGTATACAGGCTGCTCGTTCCAATTGTTCTGCAAGGGTTTGCCTAACATCAAATCTGTATGAGAGTCTGGAATTGGTCCCAGGTGGATTTCTGAAGGATGTTTTCCCTTCTTTGTTTTTCACTTTAAAAACAGATCGCTGTGCAAGCAAACATTTCAGAACTTTTCCTAACTTCTCCTGCAAGTTATTTTGTGGTTTTTAGCATTAAAATGAAGACAATGATCAAACACATTAAGATAGGATAGATTCATCTGCCCTGAGTAAATCTTATTTCCTTGAAAACCATGGGAGGAGTTTACTGAATGCATGCAGACTTGCTCAAGTAAGTCCCAACAAACAAGACACACTGCTCAAGAGGATAAACTAATAGTTAGAATCTCATCACCTAATTCACTTACATGTACTTTTCTAACTTGCTGCCACAAGAAAACTCTTAAAGAAAGACAAGAGAGAAGCCTGTGGCACCCCAAGCAGGCCCACACACTACTTATACCTTGGGCTAGCCCTGGAAATAACAGCAAGGTACAGACTAGTTTTAAAACACCACAGTTACAGGCTTTTCCAAAGGTGAAACTCAGCCAAGATGCTATTCCTCCCCATGGAAGGCTTCAGACTTGCCTTAGTGAAGTAAACCAGCAGTTTAAAGACGGAAATGTTCTACCTTCACTGCTCCAAAATTCACAGACAAGAAACTGCAGACATGCGCAAAGATACTTGCAGACAAACAAAACACACAAACCCAGTATCATTATTGAATAAAAGATGCTAAAAGCACTACTGCAGTTTGCCATTTAGCCACATCCACACTGCTAAATATCACAACAGGGTTTTTCCATTCTTTTTCAAATGTTTTTAGAGTTTTGGACAATGGAAAAATTCTGTAAACAACACTGTGCTCTGCCACTCCTCCGTGGGAATTCTAGGACAGAAAAAACCAAACCTCCCACGACCTCTCTAAAATAATACAAGATATTTCTATACACCATTCATACTCCTCTCTTTCTCACCTCACTTCAATGTATTAAACACTTCCTTCTCTTCACAGTTGCTCCAGAACAACAGTAAATACAGCTGCTTACACCAAAGCCATTGTTACACGCTATGTTGAACAAAAGATTCAGTAATACTTCATATGCTTTTTAAAATCTTCTTCCTCTGGAAAGGAATTATATGTCACATGTGCTTATTTATTTTACTTTTTAGGTATGGCAACTTCTCCGCCAAGGAAACCTGTCAGCTGTGATGAAATTACAGCCTAAGTTTATTCAGTTTTTCAGTAGATTTAAATGGGAATGTAGCTAATCAGCATTAGAAATACCATACAGGATGAAAAGCCAATAAACTTTTAACACAAACAAAGAAGCCTGGGAAGAAAAGTCAGCATTTCCAAGTGGCAATTCCAAACTCCATCTATTCTGCCAAACATTCTGGAAAGATTACTTGGTCAAGGCAACCAGTTTATAACTGAAACAAAACCTCCAGTGAAAATTAAACCAAGATTTTCACTCCAGAGCAAATGTTTTAGCTCATGTGCTAGAATATCTTGGATAGCTTTCACTCAGAGTGACAGCTTTGTAATGGAACACCAGAAAGGCACTGAGCTCTTCCTCTACTATATGAGAGTGAGGAGAAAATTCCCAAACAAACTGTTAAACAATATTAATCTGGCTTCAGTTAACTGTGGCTAGAACTAGCACAAACGGTAAATGGTATGTCAGAGATTATAGTGTGTCAGAAAACAAACCTAACCCTGTGATCCCTCTAAAAGAGGCTTATTGTATATTTTTAAGGAGGTAAAGCAAGCTTTCTATCACTAACACTTATAACATATGTATCAAACATCAAATCAGTTGCAAAGCCAAAACCAGCAGACATTTGACATCCATACGACAGAGCTAAACAAATTATTTGGTCATTTTTGGCCAATATGGTGTAACATTCAAAATCCCAGTTAGAGATTTTATAGCTTCTACAGGAAGAGGCAGTTTAAACATTCACCAAGTAATCTTTCAGACCACTTCTGTATGTCCTGTAGTCTTTACTGAATGCAAATTCCCCTCAGCATTAGAAAAATAATTTGGACAGATTTCCTCTTTTATCTATTAAATATGCACAAATATCTCTCTGCTGTCTTGTTAGCCACCAAACAAAATACCTAATTCCACCTTCTTGTGCATACTCCCACTGAACTTAATCAAAAGATACAAAGCACAATATATATGTATGAAGAAGATGAAAAAGCCTAAAATAAAGCAAGGCAGCAGAAAAATGCTATTACACTAAAAATAAACAGTCACTACTCACTGTTAATGTGAAATTCAGAATTCTTCCTTCAGTTATTTTTCTCAATGTATCAAGTTTCATGCTTTATAAAGATAACAGCTGTTCTAACTTGCATCATGCTGTAATAGGTCTCCAGAGACACAGAAAAGCCAGCAGTGCTGAGACAATCTATTCAAACTTTCACCTCAAATATTAAGTTAAAAGCATTAATTAACTTCTGTTATAAGGCTTGAACAGAGTTCTTCTTCCCCCCCTTCTCTGAAGAAGGGCTTAGCACTGCTGCCATCTACTGAAAGTACAACGAGGCAGGCTCCCTTGAAAAGTAGAGGCCTCATTTTTTGACACAAACATGGAGGAGAAAGCCCAACATGTTTAACACATGGTTCAATCAGTTATAGACCCTTTCACACAGTTAACTAGACAGTAACTGAACAGCAAAGCAACTTTCATCTTTAAAGATTTCCATTACTCAGGTTACATTTTGGTGACTCCTGTAATTTGTTATAAAAGGTAAATATGGCATTAAACATGAAAGGGACTTGGAGTTAATATAGTCCAGTTATTCGAGATTTACTACAGGCAGAAAACTGATTACCTTTGGGTTTGTTTTTTTTCTACAGAACACAGAATATCATTAAGGACAACATTTCACTTCCTTTCTGAGAGATGATCCCTCTAGGCCTAGACTCCTAAATCAGGGCAGGTTATTTGTTCAGTTCTGATGCACAGATCCTTAACAGTTAAGTTAAAACTACAACTGATAATTTTGCAGCCCTGTGATTTCCTGCATTTCAAGGCAGATAACTGAACAGACCGACAGTTACCGGCTTCTGTAGGCGTCCAGCCACGTAGAGGGTTTTCCAGTGCAGTAAATCATCAATCAGGGTATCAGTGCTAATTACACCATATTTTATCATCTGGAAAAAAAAAGAAAATAAAGGCTTTTGAGAAAACCATATACCTGCACCATTTTCACTACATGACACTCACTGGAACTATCTTTAATTCAAAGGAACACACACCTCCAATAAAAAAACTGGATGCATGACATGAAATCATATTTATGGTTTTATGAACACAGGAAACAAAAAAAGTGCTATTTACATGCAAACTTATGGGGGAAAAAAAGAAGTGGAATGCACAAAACTCTTTCAGGTCCTTTCTAGAATCAAAGTTACAATAAAGTCACTCCAGAATCAATCACTAGAGCAGAAGACTTCAAATCCCAGAGAAACCTAGTCTAGACAGACATTAAAACGGAACAGATCTGATCACTGAGATACAACTGTTTATGAAAAGATTTTGGAAAGGTTACAATCAGTTTTCTACCAGTCAAATGATACGATATGATCCACAGTATTTCACAGCAAAGATCACTGGTTCTTAAAACTAAAATCCCTTTTTACACCAAACGAATAAGGTCTAAACCCCAAATTCTTGCTTCAGATGCCTTTAACCAAAATAGCAAGCATGTAAAAGACTATTTCATCTAACTTTCCAACTTTCTACGAAGAATTCTGACATATATCCAACATTATTGCAATCATGCATGTCCTGAGAAACTTCAATTAGGTATATATTGCTCACATGGCATTTGTCCATGCCTGTCCTTCATGTCTTTTAATTTCCCATCTGTCTTAAAAGAACTTGCTTTCCCTATGTACAGTTTGTTACCACAGGGCAAAAGTTACTCAGAATCATAGGTTAGGGTTGGAAAGGACCTTAAGATCATCCAGTTCCAACCCCCTTGCCATGGGCAGGGACACCTCGCTCTAAACCATCTCACCTAAGGCCTCGTCCAACCTGGCCTTGAATACTGCCAGGGATGGAGCATTCACAACCTCCCTGGGCAACCTATTCCAGTGCCTCACCACCCTCACAGGAAAGAATTTCCTCCTTATAGCCAATCTAAACTTCCCCTGTTTAAGTTTTAACCCATCACCCCTTGTCCTGTCACTATAGTCCCTAATGAAGAGTCCCTCCCCAGCATCCCTATAGGCCCCCTTCAGATACTGGAAGGCTGCTATGAGGTCTCCACGCAGCCTTCTCTTCTTCAGGTTGAACAGCCCCAGCTTTCTCAGCCTGTCTTCACACGGAAGGTGCTCCAGTTCCCTGATCATTCTCGTGGCCTCCTCTGGACTTGTTCCAACAGTTTCATGTCCTTTTTATGCTGAGGACACCAGAACTGCACACAGTACTCCAGGTGAGGTCTCACAAGAGCAACACCAAGATTGACACATGCAGCTTATCCGTCCTCTGAATCCTGTCTGCACTCCTCCTTACCAAACACAGTCTACACGTAGATGCAGGAGTAGGACTTGCTTGACAAGTACTACTTACCTAGAATTATTAATCATACCCAAGCTCCACAGGTCAGGACCTGAGCCATTAAACATGGATGTAAATTTCAACTTGCTATGATAAATACTTTCATTTTATGTCAGATTGCCACTTGGCAATCATTACATGCCCAACTGCTAAAATTAAGGCCCCTTTTCCCCACAATACACTTTATAACCACCAAAGCTGCCAGACAGCAAGTAATAAGGAATATAAATCCATTTTCTGTAGTGCTTTAGTTTGAAAATACAAACATTGCTCGCATTTTTAAAGCACAAGAGCAGCTGCTCTGATTGGTTTTTAATATGCTGTTTGTGAAGGTTTTGAGACACAAATGTTGTAGATACGAGTTATGCATCAGTTACAAACCACAAGATTCACTTCCTGCACAGAAATCTACTTTAAGCTCATCATTTCAATACTTCACACAGAAACATTTGACTTCACTTACTCAAACTACTTGTACTTACCCTACCATTACATGGCACTAACGTATTGTAGTAAATCCCTGCTCCGTAGTTCTGCACACTGTTTATCTGTTTTGGCCCCAAAAATTTTAGGAAGGAATAATGACTCCTGTTCTTTGTTAAGTTCATCATATGCCATGTCACAGCATCATCAACAGCAAACACAAAGTCCAGCATGTTGTTCTGTGGATAAGGACAGAAGTGTTGGGGTTTATGTGTCAGGAAGCAACCAGTATTAACCATACTGATCTAAGGTATACACAGTATCGAACTTGCAGCTAATTGTTTTTCACCTGAGTAAAACTGTAATAAATCCAAACCACACGCATTAATGTCAGATGCAGGTTAAAGTTCTGATGAAGTTACATGTTTTCTAACCAGCCTAGCAGCGATGGCACAAAATATTCCCGTTCTCCTGGTCAAGGGACCGACCTTCAACCCTTCAAAACAAGGGAGCAGGTGATAGGATCTGCATCACCCCAGTTCCCAGCTCAGCTAACAGCTCAGGCTGCCAACAAACAGGACTTTCACTAATACACAAGGCTGTGAACAGGAAGGTGTGGGTGGGTAAAGGCATCTGAGCAAGAAACCGCACTTCAGGTACATTCATTTCCTTTGTCGATAAAACAATCCAAGCTCCAAAGGCTTGCAAGGTGCAAGACATGCACTGCTCTTCTGAAGGAGTCAGTCCACACAAACTCCTACAGACACAGCGGATGGAAGTTTACAACGTATGCCTGCAAAACAGTAATACTTCGAGTGACACGGCTTCACATTCATTAGTCCTGCCTCTCTCTGTGGTCTACTGATGCCAGGCAGCACCTCAGCTCATCAGTTAATGCTACTAAAAAGACAGTCTGTTTGCTACGTTACCCCAACACATTCTTTCGGGGGAGGACGCGATGCCGTTAGAGCTCTGATACTCTTATTATCATCTGTTTTCCTCTTTTCAGAAAGGAAAACCAGGCACATTTGAAACCACGTCTGCGGGGAGTTGCTCAAGAGGCAGCTATAACGAGCAATGCTGCTGATTAACGAGTTTCAAAAGGTCACATCAGAAAATCAACTCACTAATTCCAAGCAACCCGGCCCCAAACGCTGAGGCAGCGCCAAGAACGCCCCTTAACCGTGGCAGCGTGTTCCGCTGGTGAGGAGCACGCGGTGCCCAGCGGCCAAGACAAGCTGCAGCTAGCTCTAACCCGCAGCGGGGTGGCCCACAGGGCTGGAGGGCCCTGAACCACACACACAGCCCGGCGCTCCGCCCCAGCGCGGACCGGTGCTGCTGCCCCCGCTGAGGGGCCCGGAGGTCCGGCCGCCACTTGAGGCCCAGAGCCGGCTCCCGGTGACGCACTGCGCCGCCCCTCCCGCCGGTCACGGAAGCGTGGGGGGCCCTCCCGCCTGCCCCCGCCGCACTCCCGGGGCTTGGGGAGAGCCATGGGGCCGGCCGGGTGCAGGCCGCCGCGCTCACCTCGCCGGGCCCGGCCGAGGCCCCCGCCTGCCGGAACACCCCGGACCCGTACGCGAAGGCCAGGCTGAGCTCTTGAGGGAAGTGCGCCAGGACCCGCCGGAACTTCACCCCCGAGCTCGACAGCGCCGGCAGCGCCATAGCGCGGCGCGCGGCCCGGCCCGGCCCCCGGCTCCCGGCTCCCCGCCTACCCACCGAGACGGTGGCGGCGCGGGGAAGCGCGGCCGCAGCCGGGAGGGGGTGGTTGCGCCGCCGGCACACAGCGCCCCCTGCCGGCCGGCACGGGAGCCTCCTGCAGCGCAGGGGGAGCGCTCCCGGGGGAGCGCGGCGGGCGGCGGGGTCCAGTCTCTGCGGCCTCCCCGAGCGACCCGGAGCTGCGGGGCGGTGCGGTGCCGCCGGTCAGGCCCGTTGGGTGTCAGGGGGAGGTCTCCCGTGCGTCTCAGGTCGGTTCCTGCGGAGGCTGAGCTGTCCTGCCCGAGCCAGGAGCGCCCGGTGGGCTGAGAGAAGTCATATTCATAGAGCCCATAGAATCCCAGACTGGCTTGGGCTGGAAGGGACCTTAAAGCTCATCCAGTCCCACAGGCAGGGACCCCTTCCACTGCAGCAGCTTGCTCCAAGCCCCTGTGTCCAACCTGGCCTTGAACATTGCCAGGGATGGGGCAGCCACAGCTTCTCTGGGCACCCTGTGCCAGCGCCTCAGCACCCTCACAGGGAAGAGCTTCTGCCTAAGAGCTCATCTCAGTCTCCCCTCTGGCAGGTTCAAGCCATTCCCCATGGCCTGTCCCTACAGGCCCTAACAGCCTCCACGCAGCCTTCCCTTCTCCAGGCTGAACAGCCCCAACTTTCTCACCCTGTCTCCATAGAGGAGCTGCTCCAGCCCTGATCATCCTCATGGCTCCAACAGCTTCATGTACTTCTTCGATATTCATCAAGCGGCTTTAACTTTCCAGTCTTCCCTCCTCCTATCCATATTCCAGTTTAATCTCTTTAGGTCACCGCAGTTCTGTGCCCATTCTCTGATCATTTTTCCTCTTTTTTTTGGTGGCTTGGGGTGTGTTTTTTTCCCCTCACATTCTGCACTGAGGCTTCCCTCACGAGCTGTCACCAGCTCTGTTCTCCTTCACACATCGCCCATCCTCTGAACACAGCCCACAGCCTTTAATCATCGCGTTTGTGCTCACGGTTGTCTCACACTCTCCTCGTGCTGAGGCTGCCTCGCTTTACAAGTCCTACCTGATAAACTCGTCTGAAACAAAGGAGAGTATAAATGGGTAAAAATGGATCACAAGATTGTTAGTTTCCACATGATTTTATGGTTTTCTGCATCTGTCTTTCATGGGTCACATTATCTCTTCCTTGGTTTTAAAGCATTCTTTATGCTGTATGCTGCTCTGGCAGGCCACATCCAGTCTAAGGCATTGCCAAGCTAAACTTCAAACACAGTTAGCTCTTTAGACATCACTGGACTCGTAATGTCTGCTTAAAACCAACACAGGAAAGGATCTATTGCAGAAAACACACATATGCACAGTGAAGTCTCCATCAATAGCATTGTTTTTGTGATGATAAGGTAACGTGATAAATTAGCTTCTGTGTGAACCTGGCCTTATTGGAAAGGAGTATCTGAGGCAGGAGAACAATCCTTGTTACTGCTGGCAAATACTACAGAACTGTGTGAGGTGGGTGCCATCATACAACTGCATCACATCTCTGCTCTTCCGAGCTTTTCTTCATCAAATTCCACAGAGAACCAGACCCTTCCTTCTGAAGTCTCCCCCCAAAATACTCACTTGCAGAGGAAAAGCTGTAGTATACTGAAAGGAATGTGTTCTATTAGAAACAAAGTGTGTAAAATAATAATGTCTTAATTAAAAATACATTGTAAGTAACTGAACTTCTTCTGGTCTGAATACTAAGCTCCCAAAGGTCCAACTATGGCTGGAGTCTGCAGACGCTTTCCACTAAGACTGTATGTTGTATAGTAGTGTCTTTGCACTGGTTATTGTTATTGTATTAATAATGTATCATTACTTACATTGAGCCTGGAGAACAGATGCTGGAGAACTCATAGCAGCTTTCCAACACCTAAAGGGGGCCTGCAAGAAATCTGGAGAGGAATATTTACAAGGGCCTGTAGGGACAGGCCAAGGGGAATGGCTTGAACCTGCCTGAGGGGAGACTGAGCTGAGCTCTTAGGCAGAAGCTCTTCCCTGTGAGGGTGCTGAGGCGCTGGCACAGGGTGCCCAGAGAAGCTGTGGCTGCCCCATCCCTGGCAGTGCTCAAGGCCAGGTTGGACACAGGGGCTTGGAGCAAGCTGCTCCAGTGGAAGGGGTCCCTGCCCGTGGCAGGCGTTGGAGCTGGAGGAGCTTTAAGGGCCCTTCCAACACAAACCAGGCTGCAATTCTATTATATTAACATATTACTTTATATTAGTTATATTTAATGTTTGTGTTCTAAATACTTCATGGCACACAATATAAAGAGCAGTAGATTTGTTGAATTCACATTCAAAATTCTATTGTATTGCTTAGATTAGCAAAAGGTTTTGCTTTACTTTTGAGAGGAGGATCTAACTATAAAGCATAACTTATGGAAGCAGCCAAAGAAACATTTTGGGGGGAATAGCTGATACTTGTCCTGACTAAAATGTTGTGGCACAACATATTGGCTTTATATAGTTTTTAGTATATTTGTTGAAACTTAGAAGAGTCGTGGGGCTTTGTTTGCTGCAGGCTGCTAGAAATGACAGCTTCTATGGCCAGCAGACAAGTTGTGGTTAGCAAGTAATCTGATTTGGTAGCTGACAGAGAAAGGTGCTGCTGGTAGCTGGTATTGCTAGGCTAGTTCTTTCTCTCACCACTTAGAAAGCTTAGTGGGAAAGCTTTCAAATATCTACATTCACTCACTAATGAAGTTTATTTTCCAAACTCTATTTAACTTCTTTACAGCTACCTGCAAACTCAAGAAAAGAAGAGATCTGTAATTCTTCATCACTGGTTTTATTAGAGATCAGAAGAGAGCAGGACAACAATGACACCATTAGAATCATCTGGAGGAAAGCATGAGTAAAGAGAAGGTATAAATATGTTTAATAGAGATAAAGTGTTATAAATTATTAGTTAATAAGGAAGACACACACAGACACACCCATCCTAGCATGACTTTAAATTGCATACAGGAGCTTAACTAAATGAAAGTTGGTCAGACCTAAGTAAAAGGATATCATGCTTCTGAGAAGTTTACAATTCTTATTTGCTTGGGAGTCTTAAATCCTGAGCTCTGAAAAATAGGTAACTTTTGTTCTATCTTCTTAATGTAAGCTTCATTTCATGAAATCAAAACAAAAGGAAGAGGTTGTTAAGTATATTTTAACAGGTGGTATTGACCTAGGATGCACTTATTCTAATAAATAAGTAAAGCTGGCTTGAAAATTAATGGACTGGTATCCTTTCAGAAGGAAGTTATACTGTTGTCTGATAGTTAAAATTAAGGTAACAAAGCAAGCTCTTGAGGGGGAATGACATCAGGAGCATTTTTGCTTGAATATTTGTGTATTAGAGAAAATCTAGGGAGCAATGTTGGGCAGTGTTGTGGAGTTGTCCATCTCAGTCTTTAACTCACCAGCTCAAAACCTCTTTTTGAGGTTTTCAAGGTGGATTTTAACTGGTGTAACTTAAAGGCCTGATCTTCTGACTTTTCTGCAACTGTGTTCGTTGGTTTATTTCCTTAGCTGGCTCTAGGGTATTTTAGGTGGTATCAGAAGGTTTTTTCTTGTATCTATTACTGAAGTTTCAATTGGTTTTGTTTCCAATAGTGCAGTTAGTTTTTAGACTAATAAATAGCTTGTGATCTGGGACAAAAGTTTGAGAGGCTCTAAAGAGCTTACCTGAAAGTCCACGTAAAGTTATCTTATGTCTCATACTGATTTTGAACTTGGCCTCTAATCCGTTTTTCAGTCTAACTTTTGCTTTGCTAACTTTAGTAAGAAAATCTATAAACACCAGAAGGTCTTAAGTTTCATTTACACTTTCAGCCAGCACTGCTGTTGAAGGGAGCAGTTTTCTTCTAGCTGCTTGTATCAATGTAGGTGGTTTTGTGGCTGCATATCAGAACAGATTGGGAAACTGATGTAGCTTAAAACTAATCTTTCTAAGTAGTCTAGTTTTAAGCAGGTCACCAGTTTGCTTTACCTACCACACATGCTTGTGCTGGTGCAAGCAAGAGATGATGAGATTTCTTCTTCTTTTGACAGTGTTGGTTTAAAAGATACAAGTACTTGGGATTTGGTTTTTTTTTTTGTTGTTGTTTTTATGAGATTTTCATGCTTAGAGTCTTGGCTGTGATTGATTTCATGCATTAAAGTTATGTAAGGAGGGGTACAATATTCTGTATGTCACATGGTTGTCTTCTGCTTTCATTTCTTTTTCAGTCAAGTATGTTTGCATACTTATTGCAGTATATTTCTCCTGAGAGAGCATGACAGGAGTCTGATCTTAAGCCTGTGTTTGGTTTTGCCACTAGCAATAAAACACGTACTTTGAATGGCTCCTGCATAACTAGAAAGCTTATCTGCAAGCGTAGGTCTTGTTCCTACTTTGCCACTATGTTCTCTAACTTCTTGGAGTGAAGGAGTCTCTCAGAGGTTGACTTTGTTCAGTGTCTGAAGTCTAAGTGGTTTATGCCACTCAAAGCATATCCTAAGCATCATGTTACAGGAAGTCTCAGTGTTGGATCTTCAGAGTCACCCTAATGCCAGCATCTTCAGCTAAAAACAACAATTTTCACTAATGACATGGAAATCTGAATGCTTATGGTCTGTCAATCCAGGAGCTGATGTGGCCGTTTGGAACTGGGCTCAGCTCCCCTGCACACCTGTGTGTAGACCAGTGGCTCTCCCCCCCAGTGTCCAAAATGCTGTGGTTTGGGTGGTGATACGCACCTCACCTGTGGGGGTATTGCTCCCTGAGGGTAAGCCCATGTGGTTCTTTCCCTGCTCTTGCTTCCATGGAGATTCCACCATCAAAACTGACAGCTTTGCATCCCCTAGTATTTCAGTAGTGAGGAATCTCCTACTTTACCATAGCATGTGTCTGTTGGAGGTGGCAGCTTCTTATGATCATAGAGCAGCTGCTCCTTGTGTGTAACCAGTGTAACTCTTCATAGAGTAATTTTTGTATGCTAGTGGCAGCAGCTGGAATCAGAAACTCTTTCATATTGGTCATTAGAAATTTCACTCTGTTTCTGCAGTTACGTTAAGTTCTATGTAACTTTTTATTACTAGTTTTATTTAAAGTGTGGCTTATGTGAATTGCTGCTGGTGCAGCTGCACACACTCTCGAATTGCCTTGCTGGTAGTATACGCTGGCAGCTAAACACCACCAGGTGTCCTCTGTTTCTGTATCGGACCCGAACTACCTCCTGGAAATCCTCCTCTGGATTCTGACCGAAAATACTGATTTTTAAGCAGACCAAGGGGGAGAGGAACGACACATGACACGACGACATGACGCACACCAACCTTATTGCTTAGTTTTGAAGAGACTGAGGTGTGAAGCCATTTGGAAGTGCTTAGGGAATGTCTTGTTACAGCGTGTTAGTGGAGCTAGCCCACTTCCCCACCCTCTAAGCTTATTTACAAACATGTCATCTGTATCCAAGAGATTATTTTCCAACAAGAACATGGAAATAGCTGGATATTTCTAGGTGTCTCCTCCAGACCTGTTGCTGAATTCAGCTCAGTCATCACCACACAAAGGCTTTCCCTTTTCTAGCTGAGAGATTATTACCAGGCAACAGTTACAATCAATCAGTGCATGGCTTTTTGCTAGGCAACAATAGCAGTCAAGCTAGTAGAAATAAAAATGAGCATAAAAGTTGGTTAAATACTGAAACTTGTGGCTTTCCTTCTCACCTTGGTTCTGTTAGCTTGCTTGCTCTAGTCAGGAAGGGATTTTTGTGACAGATTGGCAATGTGCGAGAGAACATATTTTTACATGGCAACAGTAATCCTTCTGTGGGATGCAGTGAAACATTGTGAGACAAAAATCGTGATGTGTTCCTGCAGGTGGTGTACTGCAGGCTGCTTCGCCCCAGGCCAGGCAGTGATTTTGTCTCCAGCAGCTTCTGAGCTAGGGAGAACTGACCTCTGGATGAAGCCAAGTATCGTGTACTGCCCGCGGAATCCTGTGGGAGCCAGGGGCCTCTGTTTTGCACAAGTGATCCTTAGCACTGTCATACTTACTGGATGCTTTAAACTACTATCCCACCTGAAAGCTTTTAGGGAAGTTGCACCCTATTTGCTGTCTGTATAGGAGTGATAAAGCCACACTTCCCCCCCCCCCCCCCGTGGAGACACCAAGTGGCAACAACTTCAGGTGCTCCCTTGTGCCTTTGTAAAATGGAAAAAATAGGGGTTGAGGTTATCCCCAGTGCAATGCATTCTATTTCAGCTCTGTGCTCCTGAATTATTAACAACCCTGGCTCTGGAAACAATAACAGAACTCTAGCTGTATTCCCAGTGGCCCCCAACATAAGAAGGACATGGAGCTGTTGCAGCACGTCCAGAGGAGGCCATGAAAATGCTCTGAAGGCCAGAACATAGGCTGAGAGAGGTGAACTGATTCTGCCTGGAGAAGGCTCCAGGGAGACCTTGGAGCAGCTCCCAGTGCCTAAAAGGGCTACAAGAAACCTGGAGAGGGGCTTGGGACAAGGGCCTGTAGGGACAGGCCAAGGGGAATGGCTTGAACCTGCCAGAGGGGAGACTGAGCTGAGCTCTTAGGCAGAAGCTCTTCCCTGTGAGGGTGCTGAGGCGCTGGCACAGGGTGCCCAGAGAAGCTGTGGCTGCCCCATCCCTGGCAGTGCTCAAGGCCAGGTTGGACACAGGGGCTTGGAGCAAGCTGCTCCAGTGGAAGGGGTCCCTGCCATGGCAGGGGTTGGAGCTGGAGGAGCTTTACGGTCCCTTCCAACCCAAACCATTCTAGGATTAACCCCCAGCAGTACCAGATGCTGGCTTACTAACAGCTGGGTTCATTGAAAGTAGTGAAGCAAATGATGAAATACCACCTGAAGATTAACTTCAGAAACAAATTATTTTAGTGGTCATAATGGTTTCAATGTCAATGACTGTAATAGTATGGGCCTCTGTTGCCCTTAATTTTAATTTCATTTTTTCAAGTATTTATAATTGTAATTGCCTGATTAACCATATCATTTATTAAGGACTGGGTTTTTTTCCTATGCTATCTGTAGATGGTAGTAAGTCATGTGAAATGTGTTAAGCTAAGGGGGTGATGATTTGAGGCTCTGCGTGCTCGCCATGTATTCCGGAGAAGTCCTTTAGCATTTCTGTGTATTTCATTTGATGTATTTTGTTTGATTTTTGTTAGCCATAGCTTAGCAGCATTTCATTGCAAAGTAGTTTGTGAAAGTGAGTGAGATCTTGTAGTTTGCTTGTATTTGTGTGTTGGAGGAGTGTTATTGTACAACAGCTGTAATTCAAGTGTGTTTATCTGCCTAAATTAGTACTAATATCTTTATATCTGTTCATAAGCAAGGCAGTTATAGATTCAAAACAGGACATTGTTTATTAGCCTAATAACTGTAGCCACTAAACTGCATATTCCCATCATCATCTGTTTCTAAAGCAGTATTGAAATTCTGTGCACACACACAGAGAAAAAAAGGATCATTAAGCAGAATAAACAGCAAGTGACACTGAAAAATACATTACAGTGATATTTTAAGCTAATGCTTGTGTGGGCTGTGTGAAAGCACAAAGAGTTTCTCCTACAATGCTGTTTGCATTTTTGCAACTAAACGAGTAGTTTGTACTGCTGCTTCCCTTTAGCTGGGTGAGCAAGGTAAGGCCCTTCATGTCCTGAAGCAAGAGAGGGAGGAGAGCCAGGTGGCAGGGCTGCAAAATGGGGTAAAGAGGAGTGTTGACCTAGAAGATGACTGACACACAGTTAATGACCATGTCCTCAAAATGTCATTTTAAGACAACTCACTTCATTTTCATAAAAGGTTGATCTTAATGAGGAGGATGTTTTTTTCCCCTCAAAAAGTCTTAGTTTATAT